AAAGAGATACATGACAAAGCAACATGATAAAATGTTAATGACAGAATTTAGATTGCAGACATATGATATTCAGTATCTATATATATTTTGAAATGTTTTCAAAAATTTCATTTGCTATATATTTTAATTTTTTCATAATAAAATGGGGGGAGGTAGAAAACTTGCTTTGAACCAAATATTATTTGACTCATCATACCATTCTCATTAATTTTTTCCTGCTCTATATCAAGTTCTTAATTTCACATTAGGAGAATTACTCAGACTGGACAGAAATTTGTAACTGCTCCTGAACTTTTTTCTTTAAAGGATTTTTCCATTTAGTTAGCCCTGGCCACCAGACCACACCTACCCGTGAACAAAATACATACACCCCAATCCCAATTTCACATATGAAAAACAAAGACATAGTCTGTCCTGGCATACAGAAAATAAAATTCTGAGGACAACAGAATAAATGTATTAAAGGTTAAAAGCACTTTACTGTAGAAGACACCAGTGTGGATCCACCAATGGCAGATAAATTACACATCAGGGTCATCAAGTTCTCAATCATTATAATATAGGCCAAATTAACCTAGAATAAGGAATCCCTGTCATTTTTCCTAAGAAGCAAAACTCTTCCCTTCTTAAACCACTCCCGATAGCATCATCTACTTTATTATGGAAACACAAAAGTTATCAACACTTCCATACTGTACTCACCAGCTTATTTTCTGGTTGCTGAATAAATTCTTTCAACTGCTTTACAGTAGCCAGTCTTCGGTCTCTGTCGTCTTCCCGGGTGATCCTCCGAAGAAGATTCGACAGTCGAGACTCATCAGAGTAAGACATCGATCGCTCTGTGAAAATAAACATGTTATGCATTGAGTATAAACACAGAAACTTTACAGCCCAAATATTTTAAAGTACATCAAAAATCACAGTCCACTAAACAATAAAACTTCAACTGAATGCAGGTCCCAGTACACTTTTTGTCACTAGAAGCCAAATTCCAGCAGACTGCTAGGCACAAAGCAGACCCTCAAAAAAGATAGACCTAAGCAAAGACCTCATTCCAGAGGACCAGTTGAGAGAAAAAAGACGGCTTAGAAATTACTTTCTTCAGATTTGTTCCATAATCTTTTCAACATCCAGGTAAAGAGCATGAGTACAGGTAAGAAATGTCTACAGGTTAGGGATAAAGTCTCAACCAGGCAGAAAAGAGGCTATATGCTTCTAATTCTCACTTGGTATCCAGTGAGGGCATGTGGTATCCAGTGGAGGGAAGTCTCTTGTTCACATTATCATTATTTTCCTAAGACAAAGTTTTTGTGAACTGCAATCAAACATTCAGTTCAACAAATGTCTAATTACCACCAACCATGTACAAGGCATGATGCCACTAGGGAAGTGCCAAACCAGAACTGTTCTGCCCTTTATTTTTTAATGACAAGAGCAAACAAGAATGCTCAAACAATTGCCAATAAAAATACATTTAAGTACTAAATTTTTCTTTTTATATTTTCATGTGTGCTATTTAATGATTAACCAATATACAGTAAAAACAAACCACATTAAAGAGTCTAATAGTTTCATTTCTAAGGCATGGAAAAAAATTACTAAAAGAAATTACAACATCTGAGAGAAGGAAAATGATTCTCTTTTTAATCCCTAGCCCATTGAGTATTTCAGTAAAGATGGACACTGAAAATGTCATTAGGTTACAAGCCAGGAAATCTAGGCTCTATTTACAATTCTGCCACTAGCAAACTACTTAACTCTGAGCCTCAGAGGAGAAAGAACTGGACTCAATTATCTTTGGACTCACTTTCTAGCTTCTATCGTACCAAGTCAAGGGCTTCAAACACTCTTAAGAAACAGCATAGCCTCTGACTAGTGGGTCCACTTCTGAAAATTTATCCAAAAGAATTCATTTTTTAAAAGCCATATGCAAAAAAAAAAAAAAGCAGCTATATGCACAAAGATATTCACCAAGATATCACACACAACACATACGTATACACACACCCGTGGAAGCAAATGGTCATAAACTAAATGTCCAAAGAGTGACTATATCCAACAAAGTATATAAATCAGAAATCCTGATTTCATACTTAGCTTTACCAACAAAATAAATTTCTCTTTGAGAAAACTAATGATCACCTGACATTCAAGGCATTTTACCTATACAGTGAGGCTGTGTTATAAGGCAGAAGGTGGTATCAGCATACTTAACTCTAGAAAAGCACCCATTCCATTTATACCCATAGCCCCTACAGACCCTAGAGTTCAAGGACCTGCTGCAGGGAGAGTCCACCACACACCAGACATTCATTATCCACTATGACCAGAAAAATAGTTTCTTTAAATCTCATCTAGTCTTCAAATTTTAGGAGAATTCTCTAGAAAGTATACTCTAAAAAAGTATTAAAGCCTTTCCTGTGAGGATTTAGTCTAAGAAACAGTTTACAAGAGAAAGAATGCAAACAATTATCATCTGTACATGTTTTTCAACTCGAAGTAAACGAACCAACTCATGTGTGCAAAGCATTAGTAAGAAATACGGCATCCAGGGTGCCTGGGTGGCTCAGACGGTTAAGCATCTGCCTTCAGCTCAGGTCATGATCCCAGGGCCATGGGATCGAGTCCCACATCGGGGTCCCTGCTTGGCGGGGAACCTGCTTCTCCCTCTGCCTGCCGCTCCCCTGCTTGTGCTCTAATAAAAAATAAAAAATCTTAAAAAAAAAAAAAAAAAGAAATACGGCATCCGGGGGGAGAAAAGGATACAGGTGTTTGTGGAGGCATTTGTGACTGGCCCCCAGTTTGTCCAATCTTACCCTGTGATTTCCTCATGTCTTTGATGGCTAACGCACGACTGCCATGCTGAATACTGGTGAACTCAGGGCTGGTCACATTGTTAACCCTCAGCTCTTGCCCCAACGACTTCCGACCATAAGTATTTTCCCCAGATCCTCCATTGACACTGTAGCCACCTAAAAACGATATTTACATATTTTAATAGGGTCCTTTGCTTTACTCAATCAATTCCTGACAGTTCAGGATCTTACTACCCATCTACAGCTCAACCAGCCTTTGCTTCTCCTACTCTTCCCTTGTGCTGCCCCGGCTTTGAAATCATCTTGATTTCATTTTGTCCATCCACAGATGAAAGAAATGTAAACTAAATTAAGTCAAATTTTGCACTTTAAAAATTTTTAAAAGTTGGGGCGCCTGGCTGGCTCAGTCGTTAAGCATCTGCCTTCGGCTCAGGTCATGATCCCGGGATCCTGGGATCGAGCCCCGCATCGGGCTCCCTGCTCGGCGGGGAGCCTGCTTCTCCCTCTCCCTACTTGTGCTCTCTCTCTCTCTGTCAAATAAATAAATAAAATTTATTAAAAAAAAAAAATTTTTTTTTAAAGTCTAGAGGAGAGATAGTAGTCAGGAGACTTCAGCCTTTGTGATATTATGGGTGGCAAGGAAACTGCCTATGTGTATTATAATGTACAAAAATTTAAAAAAATTTTTAATGAAGGGGTAAACTTATGAAGTTTCAACAACAGCACTTATTTAATATTTATATTTTAAGCATATTAAGAGAAAGAGAGAAGGAGGGGAGAAAAAGAGAGGGCAAGAGAAAGCTAGGGAAAGGCTGGTAGGTTAAAAAACAACCCAAAAGGGGCGCCTGGGTGGCTCAGTTGGTTAAGCGACTGCCTTCGGCTCAGGTCATGATCCTGGAGTCTCGGGATCGAGTCCCGCATTGGGCTCCTTGCTCGGCAAGGAGTCTGCTTCTCCCTCTGACCCTCCTCCCTCTCATGCTCTCTGTCTCTCATTCTCTCTCTCTCAAATAAATAAATAAAATTAAAAAAAAAAAACAAAAAACAACCCAAAAAACATGCCTCTAACAATAAAGGAAGCATATATACCCTTTTCGTCATTCTGTATGTCAGTGTGGACTCTGGTATCATCGTGCCTTTGCCGAGACACCACAGCTGAATTTGAAGGTTGCAGTCCATAAGAAGAAGACCCACCCCGATCTCTGGATGAAGAATATTTTAAAGTATCTGGGTCGGCTGATGCACTATCAGTTCTGTAAAGAGAGAAGAGTATAAGATTAAACTTTAAACAAATATTTTCACAGCCCAACTCATAAATCTTTTATTCAAGCCTCTCCTGCCACTCTAATTTTTAAATCATTACTATTATAAATAAGCACTCCAATTACTAATAAGTCTTTCAACAGGGAAGGGATTGTCAATGAGTGAAAAGCTAGCTGTTCAGCCCCTTCTCTTCTACAGACCCATCCAGAAATACGGATAATTACCAGGATTAGAGTGACCAACTCATCCTGCTGTGGTCAAGGGTTAACAATTTTAGCAATGGAAATCCCATGTCCATGAATCCCCCTCTGCAGTCCAAGGCAAAATAAGACAGTTGGTCACCCTTGTCCAGGATTCTCTTCACATGATTTGATAAAAGGAATCATTCTTCCTCAGCTCTCCTCCCAGGAGAGGTTAATCAGTGGAAAAGTTACAGTTTTCCCAGTCATAAAAATAAAAAGCACTGGCAACATATAAGGCAGGGGCAATGTGGCATATTCTCTCTCTCTCTCACCTGAATTCCTAACTTTTGGTGGATTATTTGGTGGGAAAGTAAATTACAGAATGATATTTGAAAGCAAGCTCAACAGGATATAAAAACACACTAGCTGGAAAGTAAGATAATTTTAATGTATTGGAGACTTCACTGAAGATGCCTTAACTACAGACACTACCAAAATTATAAAAAGTGAGAAAAATAAAAATAAGATATCAGGAATCCAATAAAGCTGAATTTGAAGGTTGCAGTCCATCATCTACTTAAAAGTCAAGTGGTGTGTAGAATAATCCGTGATACTTGGCCATTAATAAACAAGTGGTACAGCCCCAAGGTAATTATCCTTATCTAAGGATCAGTTCTATGCCTCAATGTCCTCATCAGTACAACCAGGAGCTGAGTTTCATAATTTCTCATGAGCCTCATTCTTCCAACCATCAAACATAAAGCATCAAGAAATAAGACAACACTACAACACCATATGAAAAATACCAAGAAAAAAGCTCCTGTCCTATCGATACTACTTCTGAGAGAAACAACTTTCTGAAAAAATCACTTTTATGGTATGTACTAAAAACACCTACTGAACCCACAATTATTTGGGAAACTTGAAGACACTGGCAAAAGCAGAAACTAGCCTATTCCTCAACCCTTGTGGCTCCTCCCTCTTATATAAAAATGAATTCAGTGTTTGTTTATATATTTCAATTTATCATTTTTTCTTTGCCCCCACCCACAAAAATACTAAACATGGAACTTAGCATAAGCTCAGTCAGACAACCTGATCTATACTTACTGAAACCACTGTTAATATGGAATGCAAACAACAGGTCCAATTAAACTTGGGTAAATGGCACAAATCTAAATTATTCCTAAAGGCCCTCAATTGGAAACTTGATAAAATTCCGTGACCCTAGCGTATTAAAATAACTAAGGCTCTGTAATGGAGTATCTTCTTCAAACATCCAGGGTTCACTTGTCAACAAAGCTCAGTATAATGGGGCGCCTGGGTGGCTCAGTCATTAAGCGTCTGCCTTTGGCTCAGGTCATGATCCCAGGGTCCTGGGATCAAGCCCCACATTGGGCTCCCTGTTCAGCGGAAAGCCTGCTTCTCCCTCTCCCACTCCCCCTTCTTGTGTTCCCTCTCTCACTGTCTCTCTCTGTATCGAATAAATAAATAAAATCTTAAAAAAAAAAAAAACAAAAACAAAGCTCAGTACTTCCAATAGATGAAAAAATATAATCTATGGAATTTCAAGAAAAAAATGAGAATTTTTTTCTAAGCATATTAATCTGTAAGCATTTAAGTACCATTAACACTAAATGGTGCATGAGAGCTTTTTAAAACAAATGTAATGGCATCTCCCATGTTTTTAAAAATAGCACATTAAATGTGCACCTATAATAAACCATAACGTAACAAATTTCTGGATGGGAAATGAAAAAGAAAAGAGAGCTTAAGAGCTTTTCTGACAGATTTTGAACTTGGCTGTATGTATGACGCCTAACACAACCTGGATAAGTAAGCTGCTAGCAAATGAACGGATATGAGATAACAAAAATCTACCAATATTTAAAATGTCTGAATTTCCTGTTTAAATTATGTTTATATATCACACATACTACCTTTACTACTAAGAGGTAAGTATTTGTATCATTTTTCTGGGGACATAGCAGTAAACGTAAGGCAGCAGAGAATATGGGTTAAAAAATGATTTGGGCTCAAATCCCAACTCCAACACGGAAAAGGTAAGTGGGACTTTCCACAAGGTACTTAATCTCCAAGCCTCAGTTGTTTCTTGCATAAAATGGGGATAATACCTATCTCACCTGTAAAGTTGTTGTGAGGCTTCAATGAGATACTAAATTCTTAAATACTTAGCTTACAGGGTATGCCCAAAGTTAGTTAAGACCCTGGGGCACCCAGATGGTGCAATCGGTTAAGCTTCTGACTCTTGGTTTCAGCTCAGGTCATGACCTCAGAGTTGTGAGATAAAGCTCCACATAGGGCTCTACACTCAGCAGAGTCTTCTTAAGATTCCCTCTCCCGGGGCGCCTGGGTGGCTCAGTTGGTTAAGCGACTGCCTTCGGCTCGGGTCATGATCCTGGAGTCCCTGGATCGAGTCCCGCATCGGGCTCCCTGCTCGGCAGGGAGTCTGCTTCTCCCTCTGACCCTCCCCCCTCTCATGTGCTCTCTCTCATTCTCTCTCTCTCAAATAAATAAATAAAATCTTTAAAAAAAAAAAAAAAGATTCCCTCTCCCTCTGCCCCTCCTCCCAGTGTTCTCTCTCAAATAAACAAATCTTAAAAAAAAAAAGTTATTAAGACCATAATACTAAACTCAAGATTTCCAGTCTAACAGACAAATAATATATAAGCAGTTCAACAGCACAGGAATACAACCAAAACAAGTTTTCAAACCCAATACATAGCAGTTGATTTTAAGTTCTTCAATGAAGAAATTAAGCAATCTCCTACCAATAAATCCATTTCTACCTACAAAGCATTTGATTTCAAACTAAACTGGAAAAAAAGAATGGGAACAACTTCCCAATTTATTAGAAATATAGGTTTTAAAATCCCATGAGTTATGAACACCAGGTTCCACCTCCCCCCCGAGTTTGGCTTTTCAGAAATGTAACAACAACAACAAAATCACTAGGGTTAGAACTACTGTCTCAGAACTGTCTAAAAACTCACTGGTTGCCACGTTCTTTTAAAACAAACTGATCAAAACATTTCCAACCCGAATTCAAGTTATAGGTAGTCTGAATCCAAAAGCACAAAATGGTTCAGCATTTATATGAAATCTTGATTTTTTTTAATATCAAGACTGCTTAGGTCTCAAAAAAAGTCAGTACCAGGCTGTTAGCACCACCACCACCACCAAGTCCAATAAATAGAAAACTGTTAACGAACGGAAATGAGCACTTAAAATGAGGCAATCAAAGGCACAAAATACAGATTTGAATTCAAAGAGGCAGGTATAAATGTTAAGCCAGTTATAAGGGCTGGAAAAGCTATCATCTGCCAGAAAGTAGTGTCTGTTTAGTGATAAGAAAAAATGTATCTGTTAAAACTAAGAATCATACTAGCAAGGACCAAAAATACCTCCACAGCCCCTTTAATACTCTAAAAATATTACGGAGAGAGAGAGAAAAAAGAGAAATGCCTAAATTTCCCCCAAATGATTAAAGTGAAGTTAAAGCCTGATGTACATGCCACATGAGAGGTAAGTTTCTAAAGCTCATACCTCAAAAATCGCATACTGTATAATATGGAGCCTTTGTGATGTTTTGCATCAAGTCAATCTGTAAGACAGTAGTTACAATATTAGTGAAGACAGTGGGTTAAAACATTTGTTGTTCAAACATGAAGCAAATATCATTCATGGGTTAGGTGCTTTTAGTTGTACTATGGCCTTCTAGGGTTCATATGCTGAAGTAAAAATTGAAATGGAAAGCCACTCTGTGCCGAGAGGCTTAAGGTGGCAAACCAAAAAAACTTTTTAGTACATAAGAGAATTTAAATGTTAACTATAACATACAAACCACATGCAAATATAGTTACCGCTCATTTAGTTACCTATTCTCAGTATACAGAAAATGTAATAAATCTGAGAGGTCACTTATTTTGAATGACCCAAATCCTCAGACCTCACATCAACAATCCACCATGTGCAAGGGGATATAGTATCTCCTGGCTACATGTGGTCTCGTCCAGTTCTTGTAAGCACTAAAAAGCAAAAACAACAACAACAAAAAAAGCACCACTCTGGAAGTATGAAGTCAGGGAATTCCCTATCAGGAAGCATTTCCATAAAGCACCCCAAAATGACTTGATGCAAACACCACACCTAGTGGTGTCACTGGAATAAGCATCATATTGCTTCAAGTTGTTTTTAACTAGGCTTATTAAGGGTTTTTGCTCTCACACGGTGAGATCTAATTTGTAATGGATATCAACCAGGAAATGAGATTTGCACTTAAGCCAATGAGGTGGGAATGCATTTATTCTCGAAAGCAATGGTGGGCAAAAATAGTGTCACTGTCATAAAGTAGTTGTAGAATACGCTGTGAGTTTTTCATTACTAACAGTTAATACCACTTGAAAATGATTTATCTTTTAGAAATAAATTCAAGGTTATCCCTATGATGCCTGTTACTCACCTGGATTCAGACATGTTTCATGAGGAACAGATGAAAAGGTGAAACTATGCTATAAAATATGAATCTATGGCTAAAAAATTCATTTGGGAGGCTCATGGACTTCACTATTTGAAATTCTTCCCACAAGAGAAAATAGTGAGTTCAAATTTAGTAAAACAGAACTGAACCATCATGCCAAAATTATGAGTTTACATCGGTTTTGCAGCACTGAAATATCAAGTTAATATAATTTGATGAAACTTCACTAGCTACTTAAGTATTAAGTGTATATAATACCAAATCTTAATTATTTATGGGTTCTCTTATCAATTTTCCATCACTAATC